CTGTAGGTATTTTATAGTCTTGTATCGGATTAAGTTAATCACCTTGAAATACTAGAGGTCTTACTCAATGATCTGATCGTTCTTACAGAGAACTTATTCAAGCTGTTCTATATGAAGAATGTTGTCTATATTTTTATATTTAGACGACAAATCCCTATTTTACAATTGATATGTATACTAATATGATACCTGATTCAACTGTTGCCACGCAAAGTACAATAAAAAGTATTCAAGGACCATGTGGTAATAGTATATATGAATGTTTATTACCATTGAATGATCTCTCATCAATAATAATTCCACATGTAAATGAAGAACAATTAACTGTTGAACAACTTTATTCAACAAGAAATGGATCTTATGGAACAGTAAAACTAAATATTTTTTTTTTAAAGAAAAACATTTTTCATTCTTTTTTAAATAGGTTTATCGTGGTTATCTTTCTTTTTATTATGTCAATGATAAACTTAAATCAATTCTCATTAAAACTTTAACAACAAATGATACAAATCAAAAGTAAACTTAACTATTTCCTAAAATTTTATTCTGTTTTTTTTTTAGAGAATTATTTGATAACGAACATAAATTACTTCGACATCTTAATCATCCAAATTTAGTTCAATTTTATGGTTATACATTACAACAAAATTATGCCATTATTGAACATAGTGAGTTAAATGATTTACATACATTTTTATCAACAACACAAAATATTTCGTAAGTTTTCTAAATAATTATGTATTTGATGAAATTAATTTTTTTATATTTTTACAGAAAAAATATTCGTCTTTATATGATTACACAATTATCTAATGCACTTTATTATCTTGAATCTCAACATATAATTCATCGTGATATAGCTGCACGAAATTGTTTAATTTATCGAAATTTTAAAATAAAATTAACAAATACAGCAATTATATCGGAACAATTTGAAAGTCATTATTATAAAATCAATGATATTCAATTACCTATTCGTTGGATGCCACCAGAATGTTTTATAAATGTAAGTTAAATAAATTCAAACGAAAAAAATTATCTTCAAACATTTTTCTCTTTAAAGAATCAATTTACATCTCAATCTGATATATGGTCATTTGGTATAACACTTTGGGAAGTTATGACAAATTGTTTAACATTACCATATAGTTTATTAAGTGATGATGAAGTTTATCAGAGATTACAAACATCTGTTGGTTTACAGTTATCGAAACCGGAATGTTTATGTAAAGAACTTATTGATTTAATGCTTGAATGTTGGCG